TTCATATGGTTGTGGGAAAATTCATCTATCAGTCCTTCATAATCTTATACGATTTAGAGAAACCGAAATCTTTACTTGTATAGATTATACATCTTGAATAGGTGGAAAGTACAGATATTCTCATCCTTTCTTAAATTGCAGGTCGTGGTCATATGCCCTCAAAAGCCAACATTATGAGTTCCCTATATAGATGCAATTTCCTTCTAAGACTGAGGCGGTAAGGCATATCTGGCTAATCTCTGACTATTCTCTTGTACAGGCGGTCCAAACAAAAGATTTTAATGAATATTGAAAATAATCAGTACTCGTGTTGTGCTTAGCAGAACTAAATATATCCCACGGCTACACGGCCAAATACGGGTCTTGAGGCACAGATATTTTCTTTTGATAGTGCTGACACTGATTTCATGGCTTCTATTCAGTGTCAAAGATACGATAGCGAACTCTAACTTTTTAACTTATCCTCCCACTTTGAACTTTACTGTCTTTATATATTTTTTTGTCTAGAATTGTAAATATGATAATGGATAGAGAAGCAGTGTGAAGCCTTAAAATATAAAATACATTATTATTATTTTCATATTTCACCGTTATTTTTTCTGATGAATTTACTAGAATGGCATAAATAGAGAGTACATCTTCTTTGAATTATATTTGGGCTATAAATACGCTGAAGAGGAATGCTGTGAAAGGCGTCTTTATTATTTTGTCATTTTTTTAAAATATTTTTTTTCTATGCTTACAATAGATACGAGTTGTATGCATACCCTATCTACTTTAGTAAGCATCACAAATTGTGTAAAATATGACTAGTATCTACACAGTATCTAGTATCTACAGCTATACTTATATCTATCGCATATAAGAATCTTATATGGGCATTTATGATCATTATATTCTTGCCACTAAACTCAAGTAGGACTCGTATGATAAGATCCCTAGGAGTTAACTTCGAGGTCTTAACTCTACTTTTGCCTCAACTGCTTCGGGGCTAATTTAATTAGGAAACGATTTCGAATAGGCTTAGGCTACTTAAGGCACTTGAGATAATAGCCATCTTGCCGATTATAAATAACGCGAAATCCATATGGCGTATCATTTCCTATCTGTCATCAGGCGAACAAACTATAAAAATAGTTATATATTCCCAACTGGGGTTGCTTTAAGTGTTTATGAGGCATCTCACGCCTAGTCCAATAAAAAAAATATTTTTCCAATCAAGTGCATTTTATCTAAAATAACAAAATATTTACCAGTCAGAAAAGTCTGCTAATGCCTCTAGGGATACTTAGCAGCTCTCATCTCTACCGTTTGTTTTTGCCTATCTATCACAGAGTTTCCCAGCTTACAGACAAAAACTATCTGCATTTATGAACATTTTTGCTAAAATGAGATACGTTTAGATAATAGAATTTGCAACTGAGAGCTAAAAGTTTTCAAAGCTTTTGCCTGGTAAGTTAAATGATGAAAAATAAAAGCAGACCCTAATTATCATACCTTTAAGAGTATAAAAGAATTCGGTCCAAACAAAAGATTTTAATGAATATTGAAAATAATGAGTCCTTGTGTTGTGCTTAGCAGAACTAAATATATCCCACTCCAACCTCTCTGAATCTGCTTGCACCATGATATGCATATATATTTTAATTGGCGTCAGGGCAAACTTTTTTTATGAATCGGGGACATCGACTCTTGGTATCTATTTGTATCAGAATACACAACATCCTGAAATATTCACCAGCTTCCTGGGTTTGTAAGTTTTGCTCACTTTTCTGACTTTATGACTACTGCTCTTTCGGTTTTTTTCAAGTTAGAACCAAAGTAATCATCTCAAAATGGTCTTGAAGCATAATAATACCTTATTTTATCTTAAAATTACTCTGTCTAATCTGCTTAGTCGGATATCGATAAGCCTAAGCATGAAACCAAGCGATTGTGATGCAAATCATATCAAAGTTTAGTCTCCCATTAATCCTGCATTCTCAATTTGGGCAGATGAAATTCCGTTGCCTAGAATGCTACACGGCCAAATACGCGTCTTGAGGCACAGATATTTTCTTTTGATAGTGCTGACGCTGATGTCATGGCTTCTATTCAGTGTCAAAGATACGATAGTGAACTCTAACATTTTAACTTATCCTCCAACATGGAACTTCACATCTAATTGCAATAGTTTTGATTTACTTTATACCAACTTCCATCCTAATGTGTGAGAAGAAGAGCTGGCCGGTCTTCAAGCTCTTGGAAACGAGCTAGATCATTTTTATTGGTCTGGCATCTTGGCAAGGTGAACAGCAACAAAGCTCTAACCTGTTGAGTCAACTTGTTTCAATTGTACTAAACTATCTTTACTTTACTTACACGGGATACCAGGTTAAACAACCAAGTAAAGCTTCCCTAAAGGGTGGAGTGCTGAAATGAGGCAATAAGTGGATCAGCTGATGGCTCCAAATGGTGGTGCCATTTGGACGGATCTGCAAAAGATCCCTACTACAGAATGCCTTGCGAAAAATCCATCCCTCCTACCCATACCACTTCTGCCAGGTGATTTTGTCCATGTTGTGACTGCTGAACCTGGCCTCTCGCTTCAGCATGCCGGCCAGCAGCCAATCACCTGGACAACAAAGATTATTAT